ATAGTACAAGTCAATATAGAATACAACACTTAACCTTCTCCCTGAGAAAAGAGGTGAAAACTCCTCCTCAAGTGATCTCTTAATGCTCCCTGCACTTCGATATTTACCATGAAATAATCATAAAAATTGTAGTGGTCGTATTCATAGATGGAGATGTATGGCCTAAAACCGGCATGTGCTTTGAAACTTAAATGAGCTGGTTTTCCTAAGAAAGTACCCGGACATTTACAAGACCAGGCATGGCTAGAATTTTAGGGTGTTCGACGTCACCATCCGATTATTTTATTTTATTTTATTAGGTGATCAAAACTCTCTTATGCCTTGTTTTTTATTTTTAAAATTTTATGAAAAAATTAAGGGTTTCATACAAGTATACGTGTCGTACCAGTAATATCAGATTATTGAGTCAAGATTATCTATCCCACAGAGAATGCGGTAATTGAGCTTAAGAAAATTTCTAGCTTACTATAATCAGTCTTAGCCTGGAAATAAAGTTAGTTTAAGTTGTGTTTACTATTCCTACTAAAATATCGCTAATCCTATTGTTTTACTCGTAAGGGAATTCTACTAAAGCTAAATAAAGTGGGAAAATCAAAATATAAAAACTACCCTTCCCTTGCAATGACATAAGCAGTGTGTAGGATTGGAACACTTATAATATAAATTGTACCTAGTGAAAAATAGGAGCAATCATCTTCTTTACCCTCTCCCAAGTTTATAATGAAGTTTGGTTCAACTTGGTTAGTGTTTCTGCTTGTCACCCTCAAAACTCCAATTTGAACTCATCAAAGCGTATTTCCCTATCTATTTGCATTGCTCTATGGACTACTTTTCCTTCACCCACTAGTGCAATGTGATTCTTCCTAGTTGTTCATGTTATAGCTCTTTCGAGTCTTTATGGGTTCACTACAAATTTTAATATATCATTTGGATAGAATGATAAGTAAACTAAGCACAAGGGAAAACCATTACTTTAATGAATTAAAACTATTCTAAAGCATCCTAATATCCTACACGTCCAACTAATTCATCGCAAAAGAAAAGTATAAAGGAACTACTCACACTGCATGAAGAAAACACTACAATTCATCATCTTATAATAAAGCAAATTAAAAAGAAAAAGAGTTTGCAAATAGTACAAGTCAATATAGAATACAACACTTAACCTTCTCCCTGAGAAAAGAGGTGAAAACTCCTCCTCAAGTGATCTCTTAATGCTCCCTGCACTTCTAAAAGTATTCCCTTATAGAATTCTCTCAAATCCCTCTAAGAAAATGAAGAAAAAGTAAAACCTAACTCTAAACTCCCTCTTACTGCCTTCCTTGGCTTCCCCAAGTTTTCACAATGATCCGAGGGGACTTGCTTGAACCACCATCTACCCGTCTTAACTCCCAAATTCGTGCTAAAATAACTGTAGAAACTGACCCAAGCAGTTCTGCAGCCTAGGCGCCACTAACTTTGTCTATTGGGTGAAGTCTAACGCCTAGGCGTCGCTAGGCTGGTGCCAAGGGCCCAGGGTGGAGAGCCTTGGTGGCCATGTTAGGCGCCTAGGCACCACTGTGTTGGAACCATACTGTTTCACAAGTGCTCCATTTTTCCTTCATTTTACTCCATCTCAGCTCTAGTCCTCCTACATGTTATACATGCAAGAAAATCACAAAAATATCTTTCTATAAAGTGCAATTTCATCAAAACAAGTGTTGAATGTAAAGTAAATTGAGCATGCTACAGGACATATCAAAATCCCCTAAACGTAAACGTTACTTGTCCTCAAATACACAAACATTTTTAATTTAGTTTCATTAATTTGAGGTAGTGGACTTAATAAAACTTTCCTTCAATATTGCCTTAAGAATGTCAATTCATTAGGATCAACTCTAGTAAACAAGTTTAACACTATGGTATAGTAATCCTTTTATCTAATTTTAGAAATTTTGATTTTCTATCTACTTCCAAAAATCATTGACACATGTTAAATCTTGGTCCTTTAGAGAATGAAAAATAGAGTTAAGCACTTCATTAAAAAGTTTTGACTAATACTTTTAAAGACCGTCAAGTTTAGGATTATGATGAAGTTAAAACTTTGAATAGACTCTAGTGAAACAAATTTTTAGTTAGGCTTCTCATTGAGCTTCTCCTCACTTATTCAATTTTTCTTTCATATATTTTTACTTTATGATGTTCTTCAATCCTTAATATATCTATAGGAGGATTTTAATGTCTTGTTAGGCCTTAATAGTTTTGAATTTCACTATTATCTCCTCGAAGAACAACTTATCAAATTCCTTCACCTAACAAATTTTTTTCAAAAATTTGAAGTATTAGTTGAAAAGAAAATAAAGGCTAAAATCTTATAAAAATGTATCTAAAGGTTCCAATTATCTATATATACAATCATTTTTAAAAAGTGACTAGAAACATCATTTTCTTACATATTCACCTACAAGTTACTTAACTCTAGCAAAGACTTATTTAAATAATGTTTTACATAAGAATTCTATTTCATTCCTTACTTAATATTGAAGTAATTTTTAATTAACACCACACTCCTCATTAACACCACACTCCTTTAACACCACACTCCTCAAATCATTTAAAAATATGTCCACTTAAATGTATGCTATTGAGGACAAATAGAGTAAAGTTTTTAAAGATTTTTCTTCCCCTCAAACTTGATTTTTTATCAAGTATAGCATTGTAAAACAAATAATATAAACAGGGAGAAAATAAAACTGAATTACTTTCTAATACAAGAATCTATCATAAAGAAAATATACAGTTGCAAACAGAAAAGACAATTATGTAGCAGTAAGTGAATCTCAGTTCAACACGTTTAACACGAAATTTGCATTAAAAAGATCTATAGTACCATAACAAGTATTTTCCACTATCAAGTCCAGACATTAACAAAAACTAATCCAGTACATCCATAACATAAGCAATAAATACAGAGTTTAATAAATGAAATAAATATAAAAGAAAATAAAACAGTCTAGAAATGACAGGGAAAACATAAAAATATAAGTACATCTACATCCAAATGAAAACAACTACTCCTCATCCTCATCATCATCAGTATCATCATCATCACCATCACCATCCTCCTCTGAGGCCTCCTCCATTGGCATGCGAGCTAGTATGGAGGATAAGCAAGGAACTCCACTGTCTTGCCTCCTCCAATCCACTAGTTTTGTCTATACATTTCGATACGAGCAACATAAGCACAAGCTTTATGATCATTTTTATGTTTATTTTGCTAATCAAAATGCGCCATTTTGGATTGGGTAATGGCAATATCATCTTCTATAATCTTTAACCGCTCATACATTGAAGTCATGCTCATGGTAGGTTAAGGTTGAGAGTAAGAAGTAGATGATTGTTGGCACAAGTGTAGGGAGTCCACCTACATGACTCAAAGGTAGTCTGCGGCCCGTCCGTAACATCCAACAGTTCAGACACACACCCGAGGCCTTATGGGGCTTGTTCGGGGCAAATAGCTAGATCTGGTGGCGATTCAGCTTTACCAAGGAAAATCCCATTCGAAAGGTCTGTATAGGAAACTAGACATGTTTGGTGCCTAATTTCATTATTAGAAGTCACCACACGTCCATCCAGTACCGCCCACGACCATTGAAAGTCACGGAGCCCACTTACATGCGTTACGGGAAAATTAGGGTTCAGGACACCCTACCCGCGCCACAGCCCAGGGCGACTGTTGGCATCGATTTCTCAGGTGAAGGACCGACCAAAATAATTCATTTTGAAGCTATGAGACTATATTTTACTCACATTGAATCTCCCATAGCTTCCAAATCCAAAAAATACTTCGTCGGGCTTTCCCGGCGAAAATCAGAGTCTTAGGCTCTAGCCTAAGACTCTAAATCTCCAGCTTCCCGGGGCCGTCCCTCGGGGCCCACGTAGCCAAGATACCTTTTCAGACCATCTGGCACGAGCACTCAAATTTAAGACTTGATTTTAATACTTGGACTTTTTTTCAGGTGCCTAGGAGCCCTAAACAGGCCTAAACGGGTCATTTTCTCGAGAGCTTAGCGCGCAGGCTCCGCTTTTGGATGCCAAGGCACCATAGGCATGCGCCTAGGCGCCAAACTAGCGCCTAGGCACCACTCTGCTTCAAGGTCACAAAAATGACTAATTTTGATGTCATTTCGCACCGTATTGAGTGGGAACTCGAAAGGGAGATGACTAATTCCAATTTTACCCTCATCTAGAACGATCCAATGCCCCTTTTGGGGGTCATCTTGGTCATGTTTATGGGGGAAAGGGGTTTAATCTAACCCCTCCCTCTCCATTTTGTGGAGGCTTGGTTTTTGACAAAGGAGGGGCTTTTGCTCCGCCCCCTCCACCTCTTTCTTCTTCTCCAGCGAGGACATGGTGGCTTGAAAGAAAGCTCTTTCGGAAAAGCTTTTTTGAAGGTCTTGGTCTCTATTACTCACAGAATTGTTTTCACAAATAAACCAACATTAAAATGATTTATAGCTACCACAGAAGCTAAAAAACACTAGAAACCCAAACACACTTGGTAGGTAAGGTAATAATCCCAAAAAAACAAAGTGTTGGAACCAGCAGAAATGAAAATGCAATTTATTTCATAACTTCATTTTAATTTTTTGTTCCAATATGATTAATAATTAAAATTGTTAGGAAATTAGAACAATTATAATATTTCACCAACAATTCCCTACAAAACCTTAATATAAAATTAAAAACAGAAAAGCCTTCCATGCGACTCATATTCTCTCATCACAAACAAAAAATAAAAACAAAAAAAAGATTTTTCATCAACCAAAGAAAATAATGAAAATCCATGCGACTCATATTCTCTCATCACAAACAAAAAAAAAAAAAAACAAAAAATAGATTTTTCATCAACCAAAGAAAATAATGAAAATTCTTGTCCCCTCAATTTCCCCTTAATAGCCCCAAACAAAATGAGCGGAAACTAATTTCAACAAGATTCTCAACTATTTTCATTTCTGTTTCAATTCCTCCCTTCAATACTTTCAAAATCAAAGAGCCGAGTGTCCCTACAAGAATGTTTTTCAGTGCAGCATTAGAGAACACCATGTTCACAGACCACAAATATGAAAAAGCAAGGATTTTTGCATGAACAAATGTATATAAGAATCAAGCCAACAGACTTTCTTAAGATAAAGCTGGAGCTTTACATATGGGGCACCAGTTCTTCAACCTAAGCCATTGTTGAATGCATGTCACGTGATAATGATGCTTGCATGAAAGCCTCCCCAATTCTTCCCCAACCATATATTCTTCCTGGAAAGTCATAAATCATCACCATTAAAGTTAAAGCCAACTGATGAGAGCTTCCTATGTATATATGTTCAGTTACAAGTCAAAAATACAACTGTTTAAAAATGTAAATATGAAATGTCTGCGGAGTTTTTCTTTAGAAATGTGTATCTATTTCTTCCAAAACAAGGATAAAATTTTACCTGACAAACACTGCACTTGAAATCATCATCACCATGGCCAGAAATCCCTGGCACATGAAGCTTGTTTATTCTGTAGGTACTTACCTGCAGACACTTTGAAAGGACCTCCTCTGGTAGGGCAGTGCTCACTGATCCCATCTTCTCCTCAAGAGCTAAAAGATCCTGTATCAAGTAAAGAAAGAGTTAGGTAGAAAGGTTTTCAACAGTCTTCTTTGATAGCGCATGTCCCTCTCTAAGTTTAAAAGCAAAAAATCCATGGCTTGCAAGTCAAATGTTTTTATAAAGTTACCAAAATTATACTTTGTAAGTTTGCATTAAGGTTTCAAGTGAATTATCATATGAAAAATGAAGATGAGAATGCTTAGAAAGATAAGGACCTTATAAATTTCACAGGAATTATCGTTTTAAGTAATACATCTTTTTTGAATGTTAAAATGTGGAGGAGATGAATCAGTTTAAATTCAAGGAAAAGTTCTGGACTTATACCTGGCTGACTTTTTATAAATCAAATCTAAACTAGTTGATAAATTTTAATCCGAGGCAAGAGTCCAACAATTTTAGTGAGGGAGTCTGACCTGTGGCAGAGGAAGAGGCACATGGATAGAGTGAAAAAGAAAGAAAAAGGGACATAGTGCTTTCCAATAATAGTGGAATAGGAAGGAACTCTCCTTTCTCCGCATAAATGTCATATCTCTCATATGTTATCTAGCTTTGAGGATTTACAAAAGAACAGGAGCAATGGCTAATGAATAGGGAAAGGTCAAGACAGACAAATTTGATAGTAGTAACTTGGATGCAAGAATAAAATCGGCATCTTCAACTCAATAATATCAATGACTGGATGTCAAGTGAAGACGCACAGAGATAAAAATAACGTTAAAATTCTTTTGTTGTTGTTTTGAGACTTAGAAGCAAAGGGAGAGGGAGAAGAATAAAAAAGAGCAGCAATTGAGAACAACCTAATATCAAAGAGCAACAACTGAGAAGATCCTATCATCAACGGGTAAATTTTAGGACACAACAATGCATGCTGTAAGACTATCAATATAAAAAAGAAATTGTCACTAGAAGAGAAAGTGTGAGAGTCTCAAATCAAATGGATGATTCTATGAATATTACCATTGAGGAGATCAATTGTGCAAGAATCCCTAATATTGATAGTTCCACAGAATTATGAGACTTGGACAAAAATGTTTTATTTCATTCATCATCATATAAAAAACTTACTTCTAACTATACCACAAGGCATTATGAAAGTTATTTTGCTAATAAAGTGTCGTTAGGTACTGTTTGAGTAGGTAATATATGAATCATTTTTGCAAATAAAACTATGCAACAGCTTCACAAGATAAAGCATATTCCAAGCTTAAAGAGGAATTTAATAGCTAGGTAATGAAGGATAGAACTAGACCTTATCTATTACACTTGGAAGGGAACAAGGGGTTATGGATATAGCACAATAAAGTAATGATGACCTCAAAACCCAAATAGTATAAGCAACTGTAAACTCAAATGCAGAGTAACATAAATTACATAGAAGTCTAGGACATATAAGAGAAAAAAAAATGAAACGTGACTACATTGAAAAGTTAAGCTTTCCAATCTAAATTCTTTAGATTTTAATTTCTTTAAAAACAATTTTAAGAAAGTAGTAAAAGACTAGTCAGAGAAACAGGTATGAAGAGGACATGTCCAGGAACACCAATGTAAAAAAAAAAAAAGGTTTAGCAGAAAGACTAGTCAGAGAAACAGGTATGAAGAGGACATCTCCAGGAACACCAATGTAAAAAAAAAAAAAAAAAAGGTTTAGCACAGGTTTAGCAGATGCACAATCTCTGAATAAAAGAACAATTTGTAGGTCACATGAAGAATTACTCAAGACTAATACAATTGATTTGTGTTATCTAATTTATCCAATCAACAAAGGACAAAATATTCATTTGGCTTCTAAGATACCTGGAGTAAGGTGGATTTAAAAAAAAAAGAGAGAAAACCTTCATACTTTATAAGTTTTTATTTGCCCTTATTATGTGCATATGTAACTTTTCATGTGTTACTTCATGGATAAAGAGCCGATAATCCTGTCTATAACTTTTGGGATGATTAAATTGAAAGAACGAACATTAAGGCCAGGTCAAGCCATGCAAGATGAGAAACCCCAACAAGTGAATAGACCAAGTTTCAAGAGATATTTAAGGATGGTGTGTAAGCACATGCCCAAGGAACTAAAAATATTAGATACAAACAAAATCAAGCACACTTGTGATCGACCTATACACAAATACTTTCCTTTCATTCGATGATTATTGCTAACAGATGCTAATGAATTTAAAAGTAATAATTTGCGATAAAGTACTAGTGAGGATAAAGTACCAGTGAGAGCTACTAAAGAATAAGGTGGTATCACAAAAAAATAGATTTTCAAGCTCATGTTTTGAAATGGGCAATAAGGATGCTAAGAAGGTTGAGGATCAATATCCGGTGGCGTCAACAAAAGAAGATACATTCTCTAGTTTCTTGGAGTTGCTACATATGGTGGGTATAGCGGGCATTGACCAATAAAGAAGTTATTGGCAGGAGAGGTATAAGCAGTGACGTTGAGCTAAGGATCTCTAACTGTAGGGAAGAGGAAAGGAGAAGAGGCTTGAATGAATGCAGTATTAATGAAATAAATATAGGATATCTAACTATATGATTTACATACAAGGCACTCAAAGCTACAGATATTACAAAAATCACATCTAAATTATACTATTTGCAAATTTCACGCACAAAACAACCCTCCATTAAGTCCATCACAGAAGAGCCATAGATGGCAGCTGCCCCTATGTATAGTTCACCATTGCAGGAGAATCGCAAGACGCAGACGAAACTTCTCAGCTTTAATTGACCGTTGCCTGGTCGACACAATCCATAGATGGCTACTGCAATGGATCTCACCAAGTCAGAATGCCGCAACAAGCCACCGAAAACTGCTGTGGGTATCACCGTGCTAAAACGCCGCAATCGGCAGCTGACAACTGCAGAGGCTATCACCACCCTCAATTATGATATTGTCACTGCCAAAGGGAGAACACCAGCAAACAATCCGTCAGTGAAGCCCATCAACACCACCTGTGACCAATCTTGCCTGAATGCTTCAAATTTATCCTTTTTATTTCATGTCATCCATAGGCCAGTTTAGTTAAGGCAAAGCGATTCATATTAGATTTAGATCTTGAGTTTTGAATAACCTTTTTTCTCACTGAATACATAAATAATTCACCTATAAATAGATGAATACACGAGAAAAAAAGAGGAAAAAAATCTCCATACAATTAAGTAATTCCTATAATTTAATAAACATAAATACCAATAATTAAGGAATTACCCTTTTTATATTATGACTAAATATAACAAGTACTTAAATAGAATTAAAGAAATAATGAGTGTAATTCCACACTCCCCCTCAAGGTGGGTTGTACAGATTGTACATGCCCAACTTGTTGGTTAGCTCATCAAAACTGGACTTAGGGAGAGCCTTGATGAGAATGTCTGCGGTTTGGTCTCTAGAAGGAGTATAGACCAATTCAATGATTTCATTGTCCACCTTCTCTGAAATGAAGTTCCGATCAATCTCAATGTGTTTCGTTCAATCATGATGAAGAAGATTCTTTGTGATACTGATTGCAGCTTGATTGTCACAGAACATCTTGATAGAATTTTCTCTCATAATTCTAAGCTCCTTGAGAAATCTTTTGATCCATATTCCTTCACAGATACCAAACGTCGGTGCTCTGTATTCTGCTTCTGCACTACTCCGAGATACCACCGATTGCTTCTTGCTTCTTCATGTCACTAGATTGCCGCATACATAAGAGCAATACCCAGAGGTTGATCGTCGGGTGGATATATCTCCTACCCAGTCAGCATTAGCAAAGACTTCTACCTTTTGACTATCATTCCTTTTGAATAATAATCATTTCCCTGGTGTCATATTTAAGTATCTTAACATACGGTTGACAGCTCCCATATGTTCCTCAGTAAGACAGTTCATGAATTGACTTACTATACTTACTGAAAAGCTCATGTCTGGTCTGGTGTGGGATAAGTAAATAAGTCTTCCAACAAGTCACTGATATCGTCCTTTGTCGACATGTAAACTATCATTCTCCATTCCAATCTTTTTATACGGGTCTATTGGAGTGTCTATTGGTTTGCATCCAAGCATACCAGTTTCTTTCAATAGGTCCAATGTGTACTTCCTTT